GAAAGAGAAGTACGTCTAACGTTGCTACGAGAAAATTATCAACGAAACAGAAATAATCAGACAGAAGAGCAACTTGAAAATTATAGGGAAACACATCAATTCAGTGAAAGATTATGTAGAGGAAGAGAAACAGTCTTTTATATATATATAAACTATATTACATATAAATGTACGAAGAAATAAAAACCTAGTGAAGCACGTACTTGCAGCTAGTATTAGATAAAATATCAAATTAGAAGATTAAATTTCAAGTTTAAAGTACTGTAATTAAAAACTAGAGTATAATATAAAGTACGTCCTAATAGAGAATGCGATTCAGGTCTTTCAAGGGTTTACCACTTCTGATATATTCCATAAATAACATGTACTGTACTTCATTAGTAATATTTTACTAATTATGCGTCATAGAATGTTTTATTCATGAATAATAATTTATTATAATGACAATTATATTTTGTGAAGAAAAGGAAGTAGGAGCTATATTTCTAGAAAATAGATGTATAAGAGACATAAAACGAATGAGAAGTATATTATCACAATAATATAGTATAGATACTTATATTAATGTCGCTTAAGTTTATATATTTATAATATCAAAAGAAGAATTTCAGCATTTTTCAATCATAACAAGATCAGTTTAATTATAATAATAGCGATATTTTTTTCTTTGCTAAGTTAAGAAGAAATTCTTTCCAAATGTTAAAATGTAAGGAAAAAAACATTTTCAAGGTATTTTAATGTATAAAGAGAATTCTCTCTACAGTTCTTCTATTTAAAAATTAAATAATGTTGTAATTTTGTTATTACTGAGAATATGTTTAAATATTTAATAATTTTAAATAGAAAATGTATAAAAATAGAGGGTAATTAGTTAACTTTTTAAATAATTTCTTTAATTTAAATAAATTTTTATTTTTATGATTAAAAAATGTAAACGGAGTAGTGCGATAAATTGCCCGGGCAAAATATAAATAGAAACATTAAGATTATTAGATTATTTCATACTTCTATCCTTTCTACTATATTATAGTATTTGATTTATGTAACTACAATCGTTATCTTAACCAAGGATTTATCGCACCGAGTGCCTACTCTAACATATTTTAAAATTCTTTAAATTGTGTATTAAATTGTGTTCAGTACAAGAAGAAAATTTTAATAATGTGTTAGATTGTTTACTCGGTGTGATAACCCCTTGCGTTAGATAAATTTTGTAGTTATATAAATCAAACAAACGTGCTCATTCATATATTTAGATTTATCTTTTTATTATCTTAATATTACGTATCTTAATAATGTTGCAAATTTAAATTTATTAGCGAGGTTGCGGCCGTAGTTTTCATCTCTAAAACGTGAACGTCGAACGTCGAGCGCCGCTCTGTA